CAATCTTGTTCCCTGGGATGGTGACCCAGACGGAGTTGCAGTCCAGGTGAGATAGTAAAGGAGGGATTTTGTTTTTCTCTTTGTTTGTGAGGACAACTTTAACTGATCTATTTGTAATAATGCAGTATTTTTACCCATTATAGGTTCTTCGAATGGGCATCAACACAATCCTATCTTCTTGTGAGAAGAAAGGATTCAGATCTGTTGCTCTTCCCGTCCTCGGTGCTGGGATGGCCCTGCAATTTCCTGTCAGTGTAGTGGAGAGAGTGTTAATGGAGGAAGTTTATGTATTTCAAGAGGAGCGGGTGGGAATCACACCATTCCTGATCCACATCGTCATTCAATCTAATGATGAGGAGAGACACGAGGTAATGTCAAAGAATTTTACCCTAAATATTGGCTCCTGAGTGTTGCGTGTCGATAAAAACTTTGGCAAAGAAAAGATACGTCCATATCAGTATTTTTTCATTGAATGTTTGATTATTTTCTTCGCAGGCATCTGATGTTGTCCAAACTGACAAATTCACTCAAAAAGTCCGAGATCCAGGTGAGTATAGAATACTGAGAAAGAATGAAAAATAATAATACCCAAAGTGCTGGAGTAATGCATCTAAATTTACCAAATTAACAGCCTGAGGGCAATAGCTCAAACTCAAATTATTCAGACAGTCCAATATTTCATTATCCTTCGTAATGATTGCTTTTTATAAATTACCTAAAACTTCTTTTAGTTAAACCCCTTTGGCTCTAACTCTGTTTTTCCATTTAGGAGTGGGTTTTTTTATTGCTATAACTGTGACCCATGTACTGCTTACTGTTCAGAGTCAACTTTCTCCTCTAGATTCAACAACGATGAGGTTGGTCCTGCTGGGAAAAACTGGAGCTGGGAAAAGTCACCTGGGGAACACCATTCTTGGAGAGGAGCTCTTTGCCACTTATGACTCTCCAAACTCTGGAACAATGAAATGCCAAACAGAAACCAAAACAGTCAGTGGAAGAAGCATCACTCTGATCG